CAGAAAAAATTTGAAAAAGGAAAGAGAAGAGAAAGAGTGACACTGAAAGGGAAAGTGAAGGTTCGACGAAAAAAGATGATAAGACACTTTCTTTCTTCACCGAGTAAAACTGGTTTTCTTTAAACTTTCTTTTTGATCCGTTAGTCTGATTTTCTACTTTTATCGAAAGCAAAGGATTTTTCTGATAAACACAGAATATCTTTCAAAGTGTATTAATCTATCTATTTCTTCATGTATTGAACAGCTAGTCTGGTTTTATATTTCCATTTATTGGACCGGAATTGACAATCTCTGCATTCTTTTGTTTGTCTGCTTTGTCTGTTTGCTGTGTTTGCTAGCTTTTTTCTTTTCTTTTCTTTTTTCTAAAAATTCCATCCTACCTCGCATGCTAGTCCATTGAGAGATCTCATCGGGCATCGTAGTCGTGGTCGTAGTCGTAGTTGTTTCCTGATCGACGACCTCAGTATGGTCTTTAGCATCCTGGTCTGTCAGGGTGAGCAACCTAAAAGGGGACAAGAAAATCGGAGATTGGAGGATTTCTTGGGATTTCTTGGAAAACATCTCAGTTTTGCGATGGTTCTAGAATTACACTGAGTGCCCTGGATCTGGACAAGTTAAAAAGACTGAGGTCGAAGGAGTTGACACATCTTGCTTTAATCAATAAGATAAAGACAACAACATTTACCGACGGTTTAGGTAAAACTAATATTGATCATCATGGTTTTTATCATTATTAAAATTATTACTACTATACTACTACTTTTAATGATGATGATGATAATAATAATAATACAAAATAATAAAAGTAATAGTAATAAGGCTCCTGTAACCGCTGCTACTTCTAGTTGTCCTACTCGTACTACTGTCCTCCCTCCTCCTCCTCCTCCTCCTCCCCGTCCTCCTCCTTCTCCTCCTCCTCCTCCTTCTCCTCCTCCTCCTCCCCATCCTCCTCCACCTCCTCCTACTTCTACTCCTCCCCTCCTCCTCCTCCTCTTTTTCTATTCTCCCTCCTTCCCCTCCTCCTCCTCCTCCCTCCTCCTCCTCCTCCTCCTCCTCCTCCTCCTCCTCCTCCCCTCCTCCTCCTCCTCCTCCTCCTCCTCCCCATCCTCCTCCGCCTCCGCCTCTTCCTACTTCTACTCCTCCCTCCCCCTCTTCCTCCTTTTCCCTTCCCCTCCTCCCCGCCTGCTTTTCCATATTCATCCTCATCGTATCCCTGTTCTTCCTCATTCTACTATTTCTATAACTTTACCCTTTCCCTCCTGCATCGTCTGTGCTGCTCATCATTGAGACAAAATGATGACAGTAATGCTAAAAACACAAGTCTTCTCCGCAAAAATAAGGTGCCAGATGTCTCTTTGTTTATTTTTAATTTAAGAAATATGTGTTTTTGACTTACTTGCCGACTGCTTTTCCGACAGCGTAGAATAAATCAACCGGGTCTTTTTGGCCTGACTCGACCATGTCCTAGGAAAAGAAACAAAAGGTAAGAAACTTTATTGAGATCGAAATGACCGATGGTGAGGTTAAAGGCATCGTAATGTTAACTCTGAGATGCATGGCCCTACGTGTTATCAGTGTCTGTGATATGGTGTAATATTGAAGCTCTAAACAAATTGCACTTCAAAATGATCAAGAAGTGCCTCAAAAAAGTAAGAATCTTTGAGTGACCGTTATTACCATACACATTTCCCCCAATAGACTGTATATACAAACAAAACGTTAGGAAAACGAAAAATGAAATTTCATTTACCAATCATAAATATCTTGATAATCAGACAGGCGATCGGCTTGTAAAAGTCATGGGGTTCCTGACTGACCTAAAGGTTTATAATTATTATTGCAGCATGAGCAAAATCCGGGATTTTGTTTCAGAATCTGAGACAAAGTTACCTAATCCCTTTAATAAAGAGGTGACCATAGTGCGGTATACACTTATGTGAAAACGAGGAAGAGATTAAAGGGGAATGGATACGAACATGAAGAATACAACAAATAAAGATAGGAGGAGGAAGGAAGAGAAGTCTGTTTGCGAGTCTCTTTTACCGCAAGAGGGCAGCACATCATTTGTTCAATCCTCCTACATGAACCCCAACCCTCTAACAAGTTGACCTCACCAGGGTCAAGTTTTACATCTCGGTTAACAAAGTACCGTCCATTTTATGCGTTCATGATTTATGAATATAACAAATAAAAATTATGACAGTGTTTCATCATGATGGTTGTAATCATGATTTTGGAGTTCTTTTATCACATCCAAAATGAAATTTACCTGTAAAAAATTGGCGATGTCTAGAGTTTAGACATCGTTTCACCGAGCTTTTTTTCAATGACAAATAACAAAAATCAGTGACAAATCTGCTGATAACCAATCAGAAGCAAGGATTTCAGTAGCTTATAGCACAAATTGTCATTTGTCACTGATGACAAGTTTGGTGAAACGCCCCCCCCCCCCTGAAAATCTGAACTCTAGACATCGAAACTGTTTAATACAGGTATTGTTCTTCCTATTGGATGTGATAAAAGAACTTTCAAACCTAAACACATCAATAGTTTGTAGGACCTACCTCGATTTCACTTGCAGGGACTAGGTACTCTCTGGCGCATGAATATCGTTCAAGGCCGGTCTCATTGCAGCATCCGGAGAGGAATTTTTTCTTGCCCCAGCTTTCCCCTTTAGTCAAGTATGATGGGCGTGGTCTATTTAAAGATGATAATAATAAATGGATAAAACCTAATCAGACCATAAATTACTTTTGTGATTAAAAAAACAATGTCATTAAAGAATTTTGCTGTTAGGCACAATTTTTGGCGTGGCGTGGCGAGGGTTCTTCATTGTGTTTGTGTAGATATTCTAGTAAATGGAGCTTGAAATGCTGAAGATAGAATTTGAATTGATTATTCCTGAAGATTAAATTAATTGGCTAGTGAAAAAAGGAAGATTTTTAAAGTCAAGTTTGCTGTCAACTTATCAATATATTTGTCTATATTGTGTTTGCACAATGATTATTTGTTCACATGTTTCCCGGCTTAATCTATATTTATGAACTGATTACAATGATATATTATCACAGCCATGACCGTAAGATTGAGTTCTGGGAAGAGGTGAACATTTTTTTTGGAGCGTTAGCATTGTTATTATGCAAGTGTGGAACTTGTGGAAGAACCCTGAAAAGCATGGATCTAATGCCTCAATGTTATAAATATGGCATGTAACATCATAAAAATCAGGACAGATTTTTTATGCCACATGTTCGTCTAGTCCTATATACATCATACAAATCAGGACAGATTTTTATGCCACATGTTCGTGTAGTCCCATATACATTTTCAGTGCTTGTACCTAATACCAAGACTGGACCAACTTTATCATTTTGATGATCCCAGAACGTTTCTTTCATAATTCAATCGCATGACCAGAACTCAACTTTATCTTTAAGGGGGGGGGGGATGATTAACATTTGTACATGAATTAGGGGTATGAAGTTTCCATCATTTCAATTAAACAAGTTCTGTTCATGATAACGCAATCTTCGCAATCTTTCATCTTCGTACACAAAATATTGGTAAAGGCATACGACAATTGTAGAGAATAATATCAAGTTGGAAAAAGAGAGAGAGAGAGAGAGAGAAAGAGAGACAGAGAGACAGAGACAGACAGAGGCAGAGATAGAGAGAGAGAGAGAGAGAGAGAGAGAGAGAGAGGGAGAGGGAGAGAGAGAGGGGTGGACATACTTTGAAAGGATTTACCTAAACCCGGCATCCTGAATATCGCATATCCCATCTACGATGTTTTGAGTCATGTTAGCGATGCATTCTATTTTCTCATCCGTCATATTGAGGGCGCAGCATTCCTTAAGCTGCAGAAGCATGACATCATTTCCGCGAGTATGGTGCTTCCTTTTAGGAGCTTGCTCTAGCTCAGCCAGGTCGAAGAAGCTACCAATAACGCTTTTGATAGTATCCGAAGCCTCAACAGCCTGACAAAGACTCTCCATCATCTCATTCTTGAACAAGAGTTTTAGAAGGGACATCTTTCCGAATATTCTTCCGGGACGTTGCCTTTTTGGTCCACCTTGATGGTTGTGCATTGATGGTCCTCGATGAATGTTAACTGGTTTAGCGTGCTTTCGCTTGTAATTTTGCTTTTCTTCGATGTCATTCAGAAGCTCCATGGCACTCCATATATCTCTCTTTCTCCTGGAATCATCATCTTTCTCCTCATCCTCCTCCTCCTCTTCCTCTTCACCGTTATGTTGTTCTTGTGTTTGAGGTTCATTATCAGATTCCGTTCCCTCCGACCCTTCTGATTCTTCTGCGTCAATCAGCATCCAACTCCAAACATCCCTTCTCTTTCTCCGATCTTCATCCTCTTCCTCTGCTTCCGCAACTAATTGCTCTTTCTTTTGGGTTTTTTTACCACCTGACCACCATATATACCATCCTCCAGTTTCCTCCTCCTCCTCTTCTTCTTCTTCTTCTTCTATTTCTTGGACGGTACTCTCTTGCTGTTCCTGAGGTTCTGGCTCTTCGCCCTCCGATTCAGATTCTTGTCCTTCACTTTCACTCTGTTCTTGCAGTTCCTGTGCCCCTTCCGATTCTTCCACATCTTCTCCTTCAGAATCGCTTTCTTCTCCTCCGCTTTCCATCTGTTCTTGCGGTTCTTGTTCTCCATCTGAGTCTTCCGGTTCTTCTCCTTCAAATTCTGGGTCTTCTGAATCAGACTGTTGTCCTTCACTTTCCATCACTCCCTGGGGTTCCTCCACCTCCTCTCCTTCAGATTCATTTTCTTCTCCTCCGCTTTCCATCTGTTCTTGCGGTTCTTGTTCTCCTTCTGATTCTTCCGGTTCTTCTCCTTTAAATTCTGGGTCTTCTGATTCAGACTGTTTTCCTTCACTTTCGATCACTCCCTGGGGTTCCTCCACCTCCTCTTCTTCAGATTCATTTTCTTCTCCTTCGCTCTCCACCTGTTTTTGTGGTCCTTCTTCTCCTCCTTCTCCTTCTTCTGGTTCTTCTGGTTCTTCTGGTTCTTCTCCCTCCGATTCACTTCCTTGACCTTCACCTTCCATTTGTTCCTGTGGGTCCTGCGATTCTTCTTGTACTTCAGACCCCTCTTGGTTGGATGTTTTGACTTCCACTAGTCCTAGTGGAACACCTCCTGCTCTGTCAGACGATCCCTGTCCTGGCATGTTCATGTCCGATCCGTCAGTTACTTCTCCAGAATCGACATCTTCCTCTGACTCGGGTTCTTGTCCTATACTTTTCATCTGTTCTTGCGGTTCTTGTTCTCCTTCTGATTCTTCCGGTTCTTCTCCTTCAAATTCTGGGTCTTCTGATTCAGACTGTTGTCCTTCACTTTCTATCACTTCCTGGGGTTCCTCAACCTCCTCTTCTTCAGATTCATTTCCTTCTCCCTCGCTCTCCATCTGTTCGTGTGGTCCTTGTTCTCCTTCTGGCTCTTCTGGTTCCTCGGGCTCCTCTCCATCGGATGTTTGTTCATCGACTTCCGTTAGTCCTAGTGGAACACCTCCGTCAGATGATCCCGGTCCTGGCATGTTCATGTCCGATCCATCAGTTATTTCTCCAGAATCGACATCTTCCTCTGACTCGGGTTCTTGTCCTTCACTTTCCATTTGCTCCTGTGGTTCTTCAGCGCCATCTGACTCTTCCAGATCTCCCCTTCACTTTCCATTTGCTCCTGTGGTTCTTCAGCGCCCTCTGACTCTTCCAGATCTTCCCCTTCACTTTCCATTTGCTCCTGTGGTTCTTCAGCGCCCTCTGTCTCTTCGGAATCCTCCCCTTCAGAACCTTCACTTTCAGATCTCTCACTTTCTTGCCCCTGGCTTTCAGATACATATCCCTCGGACACACTGCCTATCGTTGACGGATTCGCAGATCCCTCACTTTCCATTTGTGAGCTAGGAGCATTAGGACTATAGTGCATTTGGAAGCATTTCAGTTGGGCTTCCCCAAAGAGAGCACAGCATGATCGGAAGTTGTCTTCATCATAATTCAAAACGACTGTAGATTCTGAGATTGACTTTACTGCTTTAGAGGTTCGAATGTCTCCGCGTCCTCCAAACGTCAATGGAGCTGGGGCGAGCACATTATTATCGGCTTGTGCAAGTTCTGAAGCATATTCCAGGCCAGTAGACGTAGCAGAAGAAGAATCAGGTAAGTAAGGAAGGGCTGCACATGCTTCTTCTAACAGTTGCACCCAAAAGTTTGTCATGCAAGAATTTCTTTCCGCCACAAAATTTTCCTGGCAACAATGAACTAAACTGTCGACCTCATAGATACTGCGGCCCGCAGCCGCACGCACCTTGTTAGCAGTAGGTCTCCGGAACCTAGTAGCTTTTCTTCGTTTCCGTCGGCGATCGTCTTCCTCCTCTTCCTCCTCTTCCTCCTCCTCTTCCTCCTCTTCTTCATTCTGTTGATTCTGCTCTGCTAGCTGTTGAGCCTGTTCCTCAAGTATTTCAAGACGCTCCTCTTCTTGCTCAGCCAGCAATTCTGCCTGTTCCTCTTCTTGCTCAGCTAACAATTCTAACTGTTCTTCATTCTGCTCGGCAAGTTGTTCCAATTGTTCCTCTTCCTCTTCTGTCAGTTCTTCTGCTAGAAGGTCCTGAAGCTCCTGTAATTCAGTCTGGATTCTTGAAGGCTGGTTCAGTTCTACGTCAAGGCCGTTTTCAAGATCAGCGTATAAGCTTTGGAAATCTACTGCAGCCTGGCAAATGTCTTCCTGGTGATTGGCATCAAAACGCGTATCAGATGGCAACTCTTTGAAAAACTCAACCAGTGGCTTGACCTGAATCATGGGTAGTCGCAATGCAAGAACAGCCATGCTGGCCTCCTGGATGCAGTCTTGTCGCATGTCACTGGTCAATGAACAGCATGGGTGGGAAGGATCGAGGAAAGGGCCAGTGTAGTCACTTGGGATGTATTCTCCGTAGAATCCCATTGGAAAGTATACTCTAGGAGGAGGTCCGTCGCACGATTGGTCAGCTAGTTTTGTTGCGGCGTCCATCAGGCAAGTATACCTTCGATTGTTCTGGAACCTACAACACTTTTTCACCGGCCATCGTCCTTTTAGTTCAAGCGAGGTCGCACTTTTCGATTCTTGGCAGACTCTGTCGATTCTGTTGAACTCTGCAACGGCGAGGAGCTCTGTTCGAATATCTTGCACCTCTTCAATAACTGGGGGACTGTAGGACAGCATCGCGACCTGGCGATCTATGCGAGAGAAGCACGCAGCTCTTATATCGGCGTTCGGTCTCATGCAACACCTATGTTCGTCATTGATTGGGTCTTCTGTGCGCAAAATGGTACTGAAAATGTCTATTTGGAACAAGTCATCGGTATTGCATATAGCGGTAAAGTGGTTCCTACGGAGAACAGCTAGACATTCCCGCCGACTTTCACCGTCGTTTTCGCAGCAACGGACGACCTGCTCGTCTATCATATCAACGTCTTCTCTCACAGCAGCGCAAATGGCTTTATTCTGACGGCCCTCCTCCTTCACCCATCGCTGTTCCTTTTGCTCACGTGCAGCTTCTACACGCACTGGCTTCTCAGATGAATCCTGACGTCTAAGCTTGGACATTGACATCCTCATTGTTCTGATGCAGGACATCCGCTCCTCTTCGTTCAGAATACAGCATTCGTGCTCGGGATGAAGGTTCTTCTTGGCAGCGTTGAAACTCTCTCCCTCAACAATGGCGTATGAAACGCTTACGTTGCTGGCGTTGCAAATTTTGGCCAAAGCATAATTTTGTCTCTTGTCCATGCATCTCTTCTTTTTGAGAAATGATGATTGCTGACAACAAGCGATGAGTGTGTCATCCGCATCGTCCTTTCGAAGCTTTGCACATAACCTCTGCATGAATGTCGGTCGAGTCGAACCTTGAGTATTCGGTACTGGTGCTCTTGTTGAGTTAATTCTTGATTGTTGGTTGTTCGAACGTTTTACCAAGAAACATTCATACCTTTCTTCACTCTCCAATCTGCAGCACGGATGAACTCTTTCCTTTTTACCGTTGCTGTATCGCAAGGCTTGCTTCTTGCACAATCCATCAAAGTTGTCCCTCTCGACTTCCCTGAAACACGCCAATGCATCGTCCACGTCCTCAACCATACAGCACGTTTGGTAATCCTCACTGTCCCTATCACCTTCTGGTGTTTGGTCAACAGCGTTGCAAAGACGCTTCACCTTTTCCACCTTGCGCCTCATGTTGCGCCTCTCCTCCAGACGTTTCTTTTGATTCTCCCGAAGTGCCTTCTTTTCCATGCAGTTGTACCTGAGATCACCCTGGAGGCTGCAACAGTTGCGACCGGGCAAACGATCTTCCACGGTGTTGTTCACGCTAGCCCCACTCAAACTGCAGATTTCGTCATAGTGCATTCTTTTCTCCTCGCTCATGCAAACCATACGATCCGAATCGCTAGTCAGCTCACAGCATCGTCGCACGCCCTCTGCGTCGGCTAAGACGGGGTGACCGTTGAAGAAGTTTCCCGCAATCTTGGAGCAGAAGGTATCCAACCTGTGGATATCATCTTCTTCACCTGGGATGACTCGCACCAGACACATTCTGCGTTGTTGAACTGTCAAAGTAAAACCAAGGGAACATAACATGAATATTGAATAACTCACTCATAAAAAAGAATTATATCAACTGACCTAATTGAAATTATTTACATTTTAGTTCGAAATTATATTTTGTCTGATAGGCTTTAAATCTTACAAGCGGTAAAACAAATTAAAAAAAAATAAAAATATGATAAACACATAAACAAATAAATAAATCAGACCTCTTCAGTTTTTCTCTCCCTTCAAATTATCTACTGCCAATCCAGTTTGTTTTTCCCCTTTATCTTTCAGTATCTCTTCCCAATTCACATAAGAAGGAAGTCCTTCAGTTATGTAAAATCCTTGAGCTTTCGCTGTACATGTTTTTCACGCTTCTATACATTTTCTTATTTAGTTACTTTTGTATATAATTATGCATTGTTTTAAACTAGGGCCCTCAAGTACAGCAGTTAATTAATCATCCCTGTTTAAACAACACTGAAAATAAAGAAATAAATCAATGAATGATTAATTGAATAAAGACAAAAAGAGAACAGGAATAAATACAATGCATACATTTAAAGCCACACTGCACTAGTTTGGCCAGGAGGGATTAGACCTCCCTGCAAGGTCACTGACAAGTGGTTATCTCATCATATCAGCTCTCAATAAACTTTAAAATAGGGGATCATGGGGACCAACAAGCACCGATTAGGCATTGTTTGCTATATAGAGGGCGCAAGTAGCTATACGTAGTGCAGTGGGGCTTTAACGAGATAACTAAATAAATAAAATACCGGGAAGTAGGCAGCATTCCTTGATGACTGCAGGTAGAATGGTTCCTCTAAAGTTTCCTTCCTCGCATAGCCGTTCAATGTTCCCATAGAGCTCCTCGTCATAGAACGGCTCTTCTTCCAAAACCTCTTCCTCTTTCATCGCTTCCATCTCCTCTTCTTCATCTACACAGGGAAAAGAGAGAGAGAAAGTGTGAGAGAGAGAGAGAGAGAGAGAGAGAGAGAGAGAGAGAGAGAGAGAGAGAGAGAGAGAGAGAGAGAGAAAGAGAAGTGAGAGGGAGAGAGATAGAGAGAGAAAGAAAAGCAGAAAGACAATTTAATAGTTATGTGGGAGTGAGAAATATTGGAAGAGAAATATAAATAGAAAGAGAGAGGGGGTGGGGGGGGGGGGTTGGCAGGCAGAAAGGGAAAGAGGGAAAGACAGAGACATATAAGCAGAGAATGAGAGAGAGAGAGAGAGAGAGAGAGAGAGAGAGAGAGAGAGAGAGTCAGAAAGTGATAAATATAGAGAGAGATAGAAGGGGGATGGGGTTGGATATTATAATAGCGTTTTTGTGAAGTGCTTTTGACAGAGGATACATACATGTAGCGCTGAATATTGCTTTTACTCTATAGCTATAGCCAAACCTCCTTGATCAATCCAGTTAATTCATTTTTTCTACATTTTACCATTCACCTAACATGGCCGAGAGTGGCAAAAGCAGACAAATGCTTTCCGTGAAAACGTCATTGCCTCGACAAGGATTAAATGAATCACTATTTTTGGTGTAAAGCATTTCATTTTGTACAGACAACTGAGCAAGCTTGTGTGATAGTATAGTGGTTCATTCACTTGACTCGCAATCCAATGGTTCAGGGTTCGAATCCCTGCCTAGCACTAAGTCCTTTCGTTAGATATTTAACCACATTTGCTGCACATTTGCCACTCTCTACCAAGGTGTAAATGTGTACGTGACAATTGCTGAAGTAATGATAAGTGCATAACCCACAGAAAGAGCACTATTAATATTGGTTGGCTATACCATTGGTAAATAAGACCCAACCACCATTTGTTTCTTAAAGGGATTGGGTAACTTTGTCCCAGATTCTAAAGCAAAATCCTGGATATAGGTCAGTCAGGAACCTCATGACTTTTACAAGCCGATCGCTTGTCAGATTATCAAGATATTTATGATTGGAAATCGAAATTTCGTTTTTCGTTTTCCTAACGGTTTATATAACACTAAAGTGTATAGGGAAAATGGGTATGGTAAAACTGTTCACTCATTTCTTTTTACTTTTTTGAGGCACTTCATGATCATTTTGAAGCACAATCTATTTAGGGCTTCAATATTACACCATATCACAGACACTGGTAACACGTAGGGCCATGCATCTCTTATTTAACATTGTTAAAATATGCCTTTAATCAGTATAGAACATGAATATCATACAAAAATCAAAGGTCTGTTACCTGACTTGTTCATGCCAATTAAACACACTTCTTTGAAGAGGGAGCCCTTCTCCGATGAAGACTCAGAGTACACGTGTTCAGCAGTCTTGACAGTAGCTCTGGGTAATCAAATATTCAAAGAAATGGCATGTTAGGATATAAGTGATGGCGGTTAGAATTAATAGCGTCCATTGAGAACAGATTGACGATGGGAGAAGGGTGGGTTGGGGGGGGGGGCAAACAAATGAGCAGAAGATCGGGACAGAGAAACTGGAGAGGGAGGGAAAGAAATATTTATATGGAGTTTGAGAGAGACAGAAGAATAACAGGAGTGAAAATAGAGAGAGAGAGAGGGAGAGAGAGAGAGAGAGAGAGAGAGAGAAAGGGATGCATGTTACAGTTAAACACAATGCAGGTCTCAAATCTTAATTCTCAACGAATCACTGGGTTATAATGTTCTACAATCCATGAATAAAACATTATAATCAAACTGAAGAAGGAAACATAAACAAGCGACTGAATGCATTCCCCCACCCCCATGCATCTACTTTTTTAAAAAGGAGACAAAGTACCGAATGAACCCAATGTTGAAAATTACTCATATGGTCTAGCGTCCCCTACGGCGGCATACTATCGAGAATAATTAGTCTAAAGTGAACCGATGAATTGCAAACTTATGCGCATGATTCCGTTTATATGAGAAGAATATTAAGGGGTGTTTCTTTGGAAGTCATTGACATTTCTCCAGCTGTAATGCTTAAAGGAGAAAAAAAATACTAGCGTAGATTTTGAATTGAATAAAAGGTTCATGAAACTATAGCATAATATCCTCCCTCAAATTAACTTACAGACAATGACAACGGAAGGATTTTAAAAAGAAGAAGATAAACACGAAAAGAGACGAAGACGTTGATAATTTGTTAGTAATTGTGTTAATTTTCTCAAACATAATCATATTTAGAGCAACATGCGAATGAAGTATTTATTATATCATGCATCAATAATTTATTAGTTTTTGATGGGAGTTGGAAAATAAATGTGAATTTTTGTTCTAATTGTTTTTTGTTTTTTTTCCAAATCTTAATCTAATGAAAACAAAATAGTTTTATTAAAAAACATTTTGATATAAATTGACATTTTTTTAAATTCTACATTTAATTTCCCCCCCAAAATGGTAATATTAAAAAAAAAAAAAAAAAAAAAAACATAACATGCCTTCTATTCGATGTACTGGTTAAAACTATGGGCCTCGGTGACTCCAAAAGTACCATATGCTTCGGGGTTGCGCCCCTCAGTAAATAGTACTATTGGAGTCACCTCTGGCGCATAGGTTTAACCAGAACCTCTCAAGTGTATATTTGTATAACACACGTAGATTCAGGGGGTTGGGAGGGGATACAAGCCTCTGACAAAAATATAAACACACAAAAACAGAGGCATACAAAAAGAACATGATGCCAAATTATTTATGTTATTTTTTTCATTCTTAAATACCTAAAAGAAACGCAACCACATGCGGGTGCCTTCCAGCTGAACGATATTCTGCGCATGTCCGAAACTATAGCCTGTCTGATCACATGAGGGCAGCCTTCATCTGGCGTTCCGATATCGTACTTATCAATCATCGTTCCGTGATCGCAATGGGGATCGTTGTTGTGTGCAGTGACCAGGAACTCTTGAAAGAGGTCGCTGTTGCTTTTGAGACTGACTGTAATAGAAAATTTATAACAAAAGTGATGACATGTTAGACAGCGTGAACAGAGTACTCCTAGGCCTTTATAGCGGATGTTTCATGAAGTACTTCTTCATTACAAACACATATTCGAATCATTGTACGTATCCAATGATTGAAAAAAGTGATTGAACATAATAATACCAATGCAACCCATCATCAACATCATCATAAAAATTATGGCCCCGAAACGCCGTTGTTTGCATTAATACAATTTTTTTTTTCTTGTGTTAACACATTATAGAATTTACATAAACATGTAAAACATGTTCATTTATTTCAGTTTTAGTGTTAGGTTTAGTTTCATTTAATACAACAGGACAATCAATTACAAACAATTTTGACAAAAAATCAATGAACATTTACATCATGCATTTTGAAAATCATTAATTTAATTATTAAAGAGATTGCATACATTTCACATCATATTGTCTTTGTGTTCTCTAAGGCTGCATTTCGCTTTCAAAGAATTTGATTTGATAATAAGCACCTATATGCCAGTAAACATAATTTTTTTCTACGAGGAGTACGTCTATGAAGAATACGGTCATGTCTACTATCAAGCCAATCAATAGTATCAAACACTTATAAAACGATTTCCTAACGTTACCTTAAACATCATATGTTTATCCCTGTATTAAACAAAATCTAGCAATTCTGGTCTTTGATTTTTGTCTCCAATTAACCTGTGTGATTATACGTCACAAAGGACTGTGAACCTAGTTACGAAATCAGTTGAATCATTCTATGAGATAAGATATCCCCAATAGAGATTAAGTAGACAAAAGAGTTTGATGTTAATCCCCAGGTACCCTTAACATTTCGCGTTTTGTTCTAGTAGCCCCTTGCTTAATCCTTTAACACAATATTTGAGATGGCGCGAACATTGTCCTTGTACCCCTCGATATGAGAATGTCTTTTCCGTATAATGCATGATCAACATTAATTGCATGGCGCCATTTATCTGGCGCCCGCTCCTTCGATAGTTATGGACTACACATTTGCTAGAAAAGATGGGGTTTTAGGCCTGTTTTAAAGATACTATGTCCCTTTTGCAGCCAACATCAAATTCTATAGAACTTTGCAGGGAATTATGAATATGTCTTGTATGTCTTATCTGTGAAATTTAAGCATTAGCATTGTCCTAGTATCTACATAATGCAAGGAAACTCGTTTACCTTCTACACTTCACTGTCAGACACTATTGAGTGACTAACTGACATCTTTTTTCTTTGGTAATCACATGCATGAAATGAGCTGTATTACACGAGCACTTGTCTACATCAATAACCCACTACTTGTAACGGCCAAAATTAACTGATTGAATCTTTGTGCTGTACAAAACGTACGACCATTCGGTAAAAGGGTCTGAAAATCAGACTATCACTTAAGTGATTGCAATCACTTAATAAGTCGATTCGACAACTAATGGTCTTTATTTTACCACTAAAAGTCATTTTCAAGCACTTTTGTTTTGAAAGAAGTTCTAAATTATTTTTTCTTATACAGATGCCATTGGCTTTTAATTTTTTGTCCTGCAAATGGGACATAGTACCTTTAAACCTTTCTAGCTTGTCTGTGTTGCGAAAAACAAGAAGGAGGGAATCTCAAAGGCGTGAAGCAACTTTAGTTTATTTCAACATTAGTTTCTTTTCTTTTTACTTCATTTGATCACTCTGTCTATTTGAGTTTGAACATTAATCATATAAATATGTCTGGATTAATCTATGGTGACTGTGTGCGAAATCATGGTTTTGCAAAAATATCCATAACGAGTCTTGATTAGCTTCGTGGCAACCCTTTTACAGCCCGTCTGCACTAGTTTGGCCAGGGGGATTAAACCTCCTGCAAGTTCACTGACAGGTGGTCATCTCATCAAATCAGCTCCCAATTAACATAAGAAAAAGGGGATCATGTGGGACCAATTAACATGCACCGATTAGACATTGTTTGCTATATAGAGGGTGCAATTCGCTATTAGTAGTGCAGTGGGGCTTTAACACTGGTACAAATTAATCTTTCACTGGACATATAAAAGCCTACGATGAATCATATCTTTCCCATGAAAAATACAACGTGGCACAGGAAGATTATTTCTGTGGCATATAAAGTGTTAAGAACTACACCCAGCATGTCAAAGGGTTAGTACTATTATATCACAATCTATCGAGATGAAATCACATTTTGAAATATATATATATTACAAAAAGATTTGCCATACGGCATTTTCTTATCAGCCATACGGCATTTTCAGAAAAACGTTTAAATAATTATGAATATATACATAAAACCACATGTAATGCGGTATATCAACACGCATTATGCTGGCATCGGATGCAGTGATACGATGATACATTTTATGCATTAAGGCCCCCAGAGCTAAATAAAACCAAAAGATGGATTGAATGCCTAGAACTATAAGACGCAATATGCATTTTTCTTACTACTATACTAGCTAAAAGGAAGCAGCTGGGGCCTCATATTTGACAGTAATGATCGTCTAATGGATATTATGGTTGTTTTGTTCTACAGGTCATATGGAAAGTCACGGTATTATTTCGCTCCTGGAAAGAGAATTGCGAATTCAAGGAAATCAATCAGTTTTATTGGGTGGGGGTGGCTTTGTCAAAAAGTGCCAACGAAATCTTCAAATGTGTATCATGCAAAAGATTTCCAGTTAAATATGCAGTTGGAATGCCTATAGCATAGACCTTTTTAACTTTCATTTTGACGCCCACTCCCCCCCCCCCCCCCCCCCTCGAGCGTTAATAAAAAATATACCCCTTTTGCCAAGGGCATAACACCGCAGGACACCATTACAGGTTTTGTAATCATACTTTATTTGTAGTTCACCACCACAAACTTCTGTTTCAAATTATCATCCAAAATACCGCATAGCGTACATCATTTATAAAGCATAGTAATTTTTTCATTATTATAAACATAAATTATAATGGAATAAACTATTTACCGGTCATTGTCCGTGATTTCTGTTCTCTTTCTCTCTCTCTCTCTCTCTCTCTCTCTCTCTCTCTTTCTCTCTCTTTTTTTTTTCTCTCTCTCTCCTTTCTTCTTCTTTTTCTTCTTCCACGGCTCTTCTGCATATTCTTACTTCTTACGTCTAACAATAACCCTAGCAAGATAATACCTTAATAAATCACATAATCAACTAAAATCTTTAGAAATATATCAGTTTGCACGAAACTAAACCAACCACATCGATACATGGCAAACTCAAATCATATTACTTAAACATTGTAAGAAAGTTGCAATCAATTGCAAATCCCCCAAATGAACCGTAAGTCTTGCGATTAATTGCAAATTTGCAATTGATCGCAACTCAAATTTCTGCAACGCCCCATTAGTAAGAGAGAGAGAGAGAGAGAGAGAGGGGGGGAGAGAAAGAGAGAGAGAGAGAGAGAGAGAGAGAGAGAGATAGAGAGAGTGAGAGAGAGAGAGAATAAAAGCTAGATTTGCAAGAAAATTGAGTTGCAATCGATTACAAATATACAGTTGCAAATTTTGCAACTCGCATTCAATCGCAACTTTCAAGCAACACCCAACTAGTTTAACACAATAGCTCAAGTCAGGTCAACGAAATCTAAAAAGAAAACGATCTAAACAAGACAATCTTACCTGCATATTCGATCTCGGGTAGGAAGCCCTCGTCGACCTCGTCGAGTGAAAGCTCAAAGTTGGAGATCATGAGTGAGTTAGAGTCATCGTCGACTACTCGTGGTGTTCCAACATTCGTATGGGCCTCTTCGATGTCACATTGCAACTCTAAAACAACAAGAATAGTATATGAAAAATATGTATGGATTAGTTCCATTTACATGAAGATATTAACGTATGTACAGGGCAAGGAGGGTACTATTAACTCTGCAATGAAGTAATATAAAACAACCCCCTTCTTGCACCAAACAGACGATGAATTAAATTGCATTAAGGTCACACAATTAGCTAAATGTCTTTGCTGTAATTTTAGCTGTCTAGATTAAAAAAAAAAAAACGAATACATTGTACATGATACATTGCATTGTTTAAAGAATGAGAAATTTATGAACAGCTTCGCTTAGAAAACCCAAGCAAATTCGTTACAACGTAGGTTGAATTTGGATGGGTGGGGTAAGATTAACATGCTATTTACAATAAGGATTTATGAGAACAAGCAATCACAGGGAGAATGCAGTATAAATGCGGGAGAAATCAGGCAAATAAGAAGAAATCATTAAGGATAATATCATACGAGAATTATTGAATACATCCATCGGATGGTTTCTATTATTAGAGAGAAATTTTGTGGCATTTCCAAAACACCTTTTGGTGTTTGTAGTTTTGGATACTATTCAATTTAAAGATTTATGTATTTTCTTCCGTTTCTTTTTCTATCTATCTATCTATCAGGCTATAGTTCATCCAGACGTTGGACAAAGCCCTCCTCATGAAATGTCCATTCTCTTCTGTCTTTAGCTGTCCTAGTCCAAGCGGCCGTTCCCATGTATGATGTTAGGTCATCTCTCCATCTTCTCTTCTGCCTTCCTCTTCTTCTCTTTCCCACCCTTGGTTGCCATTCTGTTAAACGATTTGTCCATCTATTGTCCTGAAGTCTTGCTACATGCCCAGCCCATCTCCACGTCGATTCTCTGACTTTCTCCATGATGTCTTTAACCTTTGTTTTCTGGCGTATGACTTTGTGGTTGATTTTGTCTCTCAGAAATAAATGCGACATCTTTCTCTCCATAGCTCGTTTCTTTTTACATATCAACATGTATAATGACATGAACAATTTTGACAAAAAGCATGTATTTAACAGTTGAAAGACAAGAAAGAAGAAGGAGGCGTCTTAAAACTAATTTGTAAAATTATTATATTTCTTACCTGTGGGCATTGACCGCGCCACGGCCAAAACCGCGAACAGCAAAATATTTAACCTCCTCATCGTCTCAAAAATTAGCAATATTATGACCTGTCCTCGACCAGTCTTTCTCTATTTAACCCTCCGCTCTTGATGAGGGGGGTAAAGTTACACCCCTTTGTCTTTGATAGCACAATCCAAAACTCAAACAGTTTAACCTGGGATGCGATAACTTTGAAATGATGTAATCTCTTGGTAGCTTGATCACTTAATCCTCCGCGATGATAATGGCGTGATCATTTTGGTCAATATTTTTGAGACGTTGCGATTTACGACGTTCTTAGAAGTAAGGGCGATTTAAGAGGAATTACGCTTTTGTTACATGGTTTGATGAAGTTTAATGCATTTGTCAGATGTTTGTGTTTACGGGCATTAAATCTTTCGTGGAAACAAAGAACGTTCAGTTCCAGGTATATTCGGGGTTTTATCTCATCGGAATCGACTGAAAAACATCCGAAATTAATTTGAAAAACCAACAAAGTTAAAGTCTTTATTCATGATAACGTTTCTGAATTAGAAGTGCCCTCTTCATTTGTTATTTGATATACAAAAACAACCCCGAATTGGAAATCCAAACCCTTCTCCATAAGCCACGTTTTGAGTGTGAGTGTACATTAGTGTACCAGGAGCCAGTATACCAATACCTGTTACCTACTCCAAAATATGTTCCTGTAACTAAAACATCAATTTTCTTCTGTTATCACACACAGTTTAGAGAAAACCAAAGACTTAAAACATATCTTATTCATGCTTTAACCCGATCCGCCGTCTGCACTACACTTAGCAACCAAAGCTGGCTGTTTATGTCGGTAAAACAAGGCTAGACATGTTCCTTTGAAGAAATTTGATAGATAACAGTGTGCAAAGTGCGTCCACATTATCGTGTATAAGCATTGTATTCAACAAGACTCCGTATCGAGATACTATCTGTTCCTAATACTATTCATACTTATTATTTCGTCATAATAAGACTTTTTTTGGAGGGAGGATCAACGACTCGAAAGGAAGGAAGAGGAGGGGCGGTCGTCTACTTTACGCGCAATGACATTTTATCAAAAGTTACGGTTTGGTCATTGATAAAATCATCCCAGCAGTGCCCAATATCATGACAGTAATTCAGAAGGTTTAGGTTACATTCATATGATAACTTTAAAGCCCCTTTGAAGCGTTGGGAGCCCCATACATTTGACGACAACATTTTCCTTAAATAAAATTGTATCATAATGTATTAGGAGGATGTGATTAGAGACACATTTCTGCAAGGAATGTGTTCGAAGTCGAATATTTGTGAAGGAATACGACATTTAGGTTTTCTGCGTACAACAGAAAACCCAAATTATGTATTCTTTTTATCAATATTTGAGAGGGGGAAAGAGAAAAGTGGGAAAGAGAAAATGGGGAAGGAGATATATACTTAGAGAGTGAGAGAGAGAGAAAGAGAGAGAGAGAGAGAGACACACACACACACACACACGCACACACACGCACACACACGCACGCACACACACATACACACACCCACACACACATAGAGACAGATATACAGAGAGATATAGAGCAGGAGAGAGAGAGAGAGATCGAGTCTGGGTGAAGGAAAAATAAAGAGGGAGTGCGAACTGGGTCAGTGTAAGAAAAAAGAGTGAGATACAGAAACAGAAACAGAGGAAGGTGTAAATGGAAACGAGGGAGAGAGAGAGAGGATAAAGAAAATGATATATGTACAAAGGGGAAAAGGAGAAGACGAAGAAGAAGAAGACGAAGAAGAAGAAATAGGGAGTGAGAGGGGAGCAGATGGGGGGGGGGGGGCAAGGTGGATATTAGAACAAGAGCTTGTGCAAATCTTGATGCAATATCTTTATCCCCATGTTAAAATCACCATCCCCCGGTACCGCAAAATATGAAGCAAAAATGTCATCATATATTATAAATTAATGTCACGATATCCGATATACAAAACTGCGTAACAAGGGAAATTAGGTCACCGACCCAATTCTATAGAACCATCTAGATTGGCGATAATATTCTAAGGTTAATATAAAAGTCAAGCAAAAGGTTGTGATCGAGTTTCGTCTGTATTACTTAAGATTGACGTTCGTTACCAAATTAAGTGCTAAACAATGTCAAATCTTTAAATTCTAGGTACAGTGATTTGAAATAATGAACAAGAAAGTTGCTATAGGTCGGGCAGGAACAGGAAGGATAAGATAAAACCACGATAACATATAAAATATGAGAAGTATGACTAATAAATGTCAATTAGGCCTACTAGCAGGAAGAAAAATAATGAAGGACCGACAAAAATCCTTTTAGTGATCATTGTTCTTAATGTAATCTGGACAAATATCGAGACAATTGTGAGAGAGACACTGTTCGTAAACTCATTAACGGGATCTGTACATAATCTTTATTGACGATAGACGAGAGCAAGTGGTCGAGCAAGGGTCACGTAATAATAGAAGGACCCGGAAGTGGATAAGCTAGTGCGTTTTGGTAAGGCATTAATCTTTATTACCAAGTCCCTCGGAGAGGACTTTTTAGTTGTTGGTCCCCTGGTTGCTTACACTGTACTTGCAAGCATAAATACACATTCTGTCTTAGCAAGCAAGCATGAAGTATATAATACCGGTTGTGACGAGTGCATCATCGGATGTATGTGGTATAATCGCTGATAATTGTGTCGGATAAAGATGCCGAAAACATAAAATTTGCAATTTTGACAGTACTGTAATATGTGGCCTACTACGTGTACAGCAACATGTCATAAGAAACACCCATCTCTCTCTCTCTCTCTCTCTATCTCTATCTATCCCTTTCTCTCTCTCTCTCTCTCTCTCTCTCTCTCTCTCTCTTGTTCTCTGTCTCTCTTTCTCTCTATATATACATGTATATCCCTATCGTTTCGCCAGGTTTTCTCTCTCTCTCTCTCTCTCTGTCGCGCTCTCTTTGTTGGTTTTCCTCTCTCTATCTACACTTCTTTGTCCTTCTTTTCTTTCCTTTTTTCTATATTTTCGTTAATCTCGTTGTTGTTTTTCTTTATTCTGTTTTGTTGCCCACTTTGGTCGTTTGTTTGTTCACTGCTTAGCAAAGGCCCATTTTCTTCTTCCTACTAATTATTAATTAACCTAAATTAAGAACATACATTTGCTGTCACTTTAATTCTGTGCAGACATTTTGTTTCTCGGTCGTCCCTACTTTACGCAACCTCGAGAACTGCAGCAAGAATGTTTATCCCCTTCAGTAATATGACGATATCGACGAAGCAAACAAAATTGATTAATTGAATGAATTTAAGCAATGCTTCAAGATATGGTACGAAATAGGGAACATCGATTTCTCACTCTTTCCGTGAAATCAAGAATGAAAACATTTATTTTTGGATGTGTGGAACGAAAAGTTGATAGGCCTAATTTTCGACGGGGCCTTTGGCAGTGTCGTTTAGTTGCTTGGTAAGTTTCGATTGAAATGGAGCCTGGCAAAAAGAAAATGTTTAGCGGCTCTGCTATTCGCTAAAATAATTTAGCGACTATACCTTAGGCCCACATCGTTAAAATGAAGCGTGCCATTCAGTATGTTCGGGGCTATGGCATGGGCCAAAGTCAATGTAGAATCATGTGAATGACGCGTAAAACAAGAAAGAGTACAATGTTTCTCCCATACCGATATGTAGGATATATTCTCCAGCAAAACTTCCAGGCCAATAAAATCCCGCCTTCTCTCTTATTGAATGCGTGGCGGATCGGGTGGAAACTATGCAGATGACAATGGTGTATCAATATTTCCCCTCTTGCATGATTACAAACTGGAACAAGTTTCACCCTTCAATAGTTTATCAACTAAATTTAAGGCAGCCCTCCTCAAAGCCCTTTTCTCCATTTAAAAAAAAAAAAATTCCATTTGAGATACAGTTATGTCTTCTATTAACCAATAAATTACTAAGAAGATACAATTACATCTCTCTAGAATAACTCATATCGTCACAATCATATCATGAAATGAGACCAACAAAATTATTTCAATGTTATGGCTAAAAGTGTCAACATAAGGTGACCAAAGCCTAAAACAGGAGGGAAATGGTAAGGGGAAGGGGAGGGGGGGGGGGGGGGGTGACACAAATGGAAACACTGAGAATCCCTATTTATGCTTCTACTTTTCTCCTTCTATAACGTATTCCCTTGTTTATCTTCTTTTCTCTAATTCATTACCCGGTACTGACCGTCATACCAGACTCAATCCATCTTCTAATCAATGAATGATGGCGTAGAGGGAGACTACCGATCCAAGGTCCGCCAAATCTCATCGTGACGTCATAGGCGGCTCGTCCTTTGATCTTTTGTTTCTTTTCATCCCATGAGGGGTAATCAAAAAACACCCATCTGGTATAAGGGTACATGCATCTTACCTTAATAGCGTATATATTCAGACTAAGCTCGAGTAACCATGACGATCTTATTAATATATCATTGATAGTTTTACGTATGAGTTTAATTTTTGAAGGATTGAAGACATTTATTGCACAAAATACTTTACAATCAGCTTTTTGATTAATATGTGCGGAATTTTACCAGGTGAAAAATGCCATTATCTATCGGTTATGAAATCATTATGATAAGTCATTTATGATTTCGCTTCGTGATATTGCCACACGAGAATACATTATAGGCGCAATCCTTATTAATACCGAATCAATGGTTTCTTTTCCATGTAGTTCTATTCGAGAAACCTTTGTTAATGTTGTTGGTAAGTCAATGTAACCTGTGGTTAATTCTGCGTAACAAACACACACAGAAAAGGTCGATGACTTCGATAATGAGTTAATCTGTCAATTTGACAAACAGATTATCTATACGGTTATGAATAAGTATTCCTGACATCATTGTCTCTTTAATGTCTTTTCACTAACCACGGCGTAATCATCTTTCCTCCACGTAACATTTGTTCTTCTTGGGCAAGTCATTCCGAACAGATACCTTAAACAAATTAATCACTTCCAATGGTTCTAATAGTTTGAAACAGGTGAGGGTGTGTTTATG